GAGATACTATCTAACACCCTTGAGGTTAGCCCAAATCAGAGAACAACAAAAGCTGGAGGGGTTGTGGCAAGATAGGATCTCTCCTCCACTGCTCATGGTTGTGTAGATATGTATAGCTTCTATGGAAAGAAATCTGGCGATATTTAAAGAAAATGGAATTTGATCTACTTTATGACCCAGCTATCCCTCTACTGTATACACCCAGAGGAGGTAAGAAATGAAACACGACTAGTTGTCTTCACTCCAATGTTTACTGCAGTGCAATTCACAATCACAAAGAGTCGGAAATAACCCTAAACCATCAATAGACCAGTGGATTAGTAAACTCTGGCACATACACACAATAGAATACTATGCATCACTAATGCATGGATGATCACATGAAACACGCCATTTCATGGGAAGAGTTGGAGGAAATTATGCTAAGTGAGGTTAGCCAATCACAAAAGGACAAGTACAATATGAGTCGCCTGAGGTAAGTATAATCAGCACAGTAGGTATAGAAGAACAGCCCTTATCTCACAATATACGGTTGAGGTGCAGGTTGTTGGGTGGAGGTCAGACTAAACCCAAGGAGGTACATGTTAATCCAATACAAAGAAGGGGAAAGAGGGAAAAGGGGGAAGAAATAGGGGAGGGCAAAAGTGAGATGATGGCATGAGGAGCAGGTCAGTGACCCACCGAGGAAGAGAGTATTGGTTATGTCTCCATAGAATTGGGAATGTGCATACAAACCACACTATGCCTCACGAAACCATGAGAGCAATATACCTCGTGGAGGACTGCATGATAAGATCGGGCTACAGAGCTGGCCCCAAGCAGAGCCTAACTGACTCCCTCCCTGGAAGTACATGTGACAGAGAACAACACTAAACCTACAAGGTGGGTAAAGGGACCAACATGTCACACCCACATGGAAGCAATCCAGGAAGGAAAGAGAGAAAGGGACAGTTGGCCTGGACGCCATATTGGCACACCCAGCCCGGAGGATGATGTCCCTGCACAGAGCTGCTAAGGCACAAAGAGGACTGTGGGGCCGACAACAGCTCATGACATGTTGTCCCCTTAATGGAGCATACGGTGACAGAGGACAATAATAGCGACAATGGTGAGGAGATGTTAGGGTCTGACACCACCCACCCCACCCCACCCAGACCCACAGCGGGGCAAAGCAAGAAGGGAGCATAACAGATCAACAACTGGAGCAAAGCCAAGCCACAAAGCCCCTAAAACGCCCCCGAAATAGACTTCAGGCTCGGAGGGACACCTCCAGGACTTCCTGCAGGACCAGGGGAGACAGTCATAAAGGTCAGTGGACAGACCTGGAATTACGGGGTTGTTTGTAGTATTAAATTAAATGGGGATGAGTTGAGGGGTGCCAGCCCCCACCCGCTGCTACTACTTTCGGGTTCAGTAATGCACAATTGTACGGTTGAGCTATATAAGTATTATATTAAAGTCATCGAGAGCATGAGAGACACAATAATGCAGTTAGACACATTACATGGTAGCATTGCTCACCTCAGCCCAGCTTGGTGGTCCCGTGGAGAGAAAGGGGGAAGGGAAGGAGGGCAAGGGAACAAGGGAGGGAGGATGGGAGAGGAGAGGGGGAAGAGAGGGGAGCCAGAGAGAGGGGTCAGAGAGCTCTATATTGCTGACCCACGACTATATACCTTTTGGGGGCATGCCAGCCCACTAATTACAGGTAGAGACATACATCACAGGGAGGGGCTGCACTACAGGTTACACAGCAATGAGAAGGGGTGGTCTACGGACTTACACGCAATAGGACGAGGAGGGATTGGGGTATACACGTGACAAGATGGGCGGATCCCAGATTCAGGATGGAAGCCTAACTTCGGATGTCACAGAGCCGGTTTGGCCTTTTCCTGGCCCAACTGATAGAGACCATTATCAGTAGGATGCGAACTCCGCCCACAGGAGCCTGTCCATTGTCCCCAGCACCAGGGAGCAGGCACAGTGCAGTCTGGCAACTGATGGCTCTCAAAGGGAATGCCTGCACATCTGACCTCCCCCCACAGTTGTTTTTCTGTTATGTTTTTTCAATCTTTTGTTTTCTTATTGTTTGGTCTGTGTCATTGTTGGTTTGCCTACTTACCGTATATATACTCCAGTATGAGCCTACCGAAATAGCAGCCGAGGCACCCAATTTTACCACAAAAACTGCATTAAAAATGTGCTGGAAAACTCAGCTTCTACATGAGTACATATGGCATATAAGACAAGCATGGGAAGCAAGCTTGAGGAGAAAGCAATAAGACCCGTGGACCCAGAGGATCTTTGAACAAATAATGCCCCAGACAGGGCAACGAATAGGGAATTAAAGTCAACAAGGAGGATGTGGAGATCCTATGGGTGTTGGAACAACAGCAATTTAGCTGAGAGAAAGTACTAAGAAGGGGAAGTACGGGGAACATGGTGGTTGGACAGGAGCAAGGCCAAAGGTAGCAAAGCTATGGATAAAGGTATAAGGATAGGTGTGTACATACGTAAATACATTAATCCATAAAAATAGAGGTATTGGCCTATGTACATATATTTATATGGCAATACACTGAGGTAGTGGATGGACTTCGGGCCTCTGTTCACACCCTCCCTCGATACAAAAACATTTTGTTCTACAAACTGGCATTTTGTGATGCTCATCTCCCAGCACAATCGCTGAAGACAAAATGAATACATAAGCAAATGTGGTGACGAAAGCAGATGGTACCGGGCTATTAAAAGACATAGCATCTGGAGTCTTGAAGGCTTAAAGTTAAACAAGCAGCCATCGAAGAGTGAAGCAACAAGCTCACATGGAAGAAGCACACCAGTAGGTGTGATCATAAGGTGTCATTGGGACTGGGTAACAGGCATCAGAAGACGCATAACAAACAAGCAAACAAACAAAAACATATTGTTGAGAATGAGGGGGGTCAGAGCAGAGACACAAAGTCCCTCTGGAAACAATGGAACATCCCACCATAGAGGGGTCACAGTGAAGGGATAAGTCAACCAGGGTGCAATAAAGCACCGATGGAACACAATATTCCTCTAGTTCCTGAGGCTTCTTCACCCCCTACTATCATTACTCCAGTGCTACTTCTCACTCTGGACTACACCAGAGCATGTATACAGGTACAGAGAAAAGATAAAAGCTCACGACACATGGAATCCAGGAACAGGAAAGGGAATAGCAGTACCAGAAGGGTAGGGGGAAGAGTGGGGAGAGGAGAGGAGGGAGGCGAATCCAATCGCAAGGATTGACACATAACCACACACCCCCTCTAGGGGGAAGAACAACAGCAACCATGGGGGCAGGGAGACAGCAGTCAGTATGAGATATGAAAATGATAATAATTTATAATCTATCAAGGGGTCACGAGGGTGGCGGGGGGAAGAGGAGCTGATAACAAGGGCTCAATAGAAAGTAAATGTCTAGAAAGAATGATGGCAACATAGGTACAAATATGCCTTAAATAATTGATGTATGAATTATAATAAGAGTTGTAAGAGTCCCCAATAAAATGATCTTTTGATTAAAATAATAATAATAAATAAGACGCTACTGATACTTGCAAGACTCTGGATACAACTCAAAAACAAATCGCTATCTTGAGTGAAAGAAGCCAGTCACAAACTTGTGCATAAAGTATGATTAATTGACATAAAAATACCACAAACTGCTAATGAATCTATAATGACAAAATGAATCAGTGGTTACCTAAGGCCAGGGCTGAAGTAAATGGCAGATTGTAAAAGTCAAGTAGAAATTTTCTACATCTCGGCTGTTAACTACAAGATGTCCAGTTCCAAATGACCATCTGCTGCATGAGAGAAAGGTGAGGCTCTCTATTCCCGTAAAGATTTGCAATCAGAAACCAGAGGGCAGTTCTGCTGTTTTCTATAGGAGCAACATGAGTCACAATCAACTTGATAATGAGTAAGTTGGTGGTTTGCTTAGTGTTTACATCTGTCAAAACTCTCAGTTTGTAGGGTTTTGTGTGTAAATTATGCTTCATAAACTGATTTTAAAAAATAACTCCATTTGAAAGCCTGGACACAGAGATACATGCCATTTCCTTTAAGCAAATCTTAATCACTCCCTCCCATGCACACCCCAGTTTCAACTTTTTCACCCTGTGGGTTTACACTGATCCTCTTTGCCTTCATCTTGTTCGATTTGTGAATGCTTAGAGTCACAAGATGGAGTAGAAACTGAATTTGTGGCAGACAGAATCTAAATGGTAATCTTCTTTCTTCTAAACCCTTGGGCCTAATATGCCTCACACTCTCCCTGCCACAGGATGAAGAATCTAATTGCTGATGATACCAAAGCTGGAGGAACAAAGAACACTGAGTTGCAGTCCAAAGTCACAAGAAATTGAAACATCTAATAATAAGCAGCAGGAGCTGTTTTTTTTCTCCAGATTAGGATGGAGAACTGCTCCATTAACATTCAAATGTACTTCACCCTCAAAGTGGCTTGAGGAAACATTTGAAGCTATTGTAAGAAATAATAGCATACAATCTCACACAAAGTAGATTGCCCAGAGAAAAAGAAACATTATTATTAACGTCACATCTCATTCTACATTATTTTCATTTTTGAGATCAAATATTCAAAACAGGCTTACCGGAGGAACGATTTAATGTTTTCAGCGTTCATTTCGGATACCAGTTCCTGGCGCACACTTTGATGGGACGTGGGTGTTTCTCGGAGAGGCTTGTTTATAAACCAGCCTAGGAGAAAGCCCACCACACATATTAAGTAGTTTTTAACATCTTTTAAAACCCAGAGGCCACACCACAGCCCTTCAGAAATAGATCATAGTGAGCTTTAAAAAATAAATGCAAAGTTTTAATTCTGATGGTAAAGTAATTTGGAGTTGGGAAAAATAAACATTTTTAAAAGAATGTTCTTTATTTTTCTCATATTTCAAGGAACCGCCCCCTTCTCCCTTCTTGTTTTTCCCTCGTATAGTAACCAGTGCTTATTTTAATAAACGACAGAGAATGGGCACTCACTGAGCGTTATCAGAAGGGCTCTGATGGCGTAGTAAACACTACTTGTTACTGAGCGTTTACAGGGTGGAAGTTTTGACTCACTAATATTGCTTGGAAATGAAACCAGTTTTTTCCTCCCAGAGGCTGAGAAGCAGTATTAACTCTCTTTCCAACAACTTGCAACATTACTCGGCATCCGACTGACTACTGAACAAATGTTGACTTCAGCCACATTTTCTTCTCGGGACGGCCAAAATGTATTGCAGTCAGTTTCTAGTTTTGCAGAAGTTCCTAGAATTCCCCAGAAAGAGATCCACAGGCCCAGGCAAGCTCAGCCTACAGCCTCATCTCTCCACTTTACAAGCTGTGCCTGAGCGGTTTAGAGCTTCCAGCAGAGAGGGAGGGCCTTGGAGAGGTCTGTCAGCAGCCCGGGGTCTGGCTAAAAGGTTCAGAACACTTACCTGCTAGCAATCCCACCAAGAAAGACACCAGCACTGCGGCCAAGCACAGACAGGCATATAAACGACCTCTGGATTTCGCCATGGCTTCTTCCAGACCGAGCTTGGGGCGCCTGCTGGGGTCGCGTGTGTCTAGACTGGGAAGGAACAGAAGGAATGAGCTCAGTGGCCCAGGGAGTGTCCAGGTTGCTGCAGAGCAACAAAGCCCCGCCTCCTCCTTCCAGCTCTGTCCATAGGGCCAAGGAAAACCTTGGTGGTCTCTCTGAGACCCTGGAAGGGAGAGAGGGAGCCCCACAGGGTAGGGGACGTCCTCTTCCAGTTTTCTGGCAAATTCTATTCAACTAAGCCCAGGCGAAGCCACCATGGGGGCTGCTGCAAATGCTAAAAATGTCCCTACTGGTCTCCAAAAGAATGTTCCTTATCCTGCTTTATGCCACTCAACCCCCCACCCCACCCCCAGGGTCCTCTGCGTCAGTATTGGCTTGATGGCAGAGAGAGAGAGAGAGAGAGAGGCTAGGAATAACATGTAAGCACTGTGTTCATTATCTAGAAGGGCTCTGATGGCGTAGTAACTACTACTTGTTACTACTTGTTGGTTACTTGTTGGCCTGCAATCAGCAAGGTCCTCAGTTGGTAAATTACCAGAGTGCACCATCAGTTGTTCTGCAGAAGAAAGACCTGGCGTTCTCCTACAGTAAATGGTCAGTCTCAGAAACTCACGGAGCAGTTTTTCCCTGCCCTACAGAGGTCACTGGGCGTCGGTCTCGACTTGATGGCAGTTTTGGTTTTTAGTTTGGTTGATTATCCTCTTTTACTGCCAAATTCTCCTTCCTTGTTTCTACCTGGTCAAATTCTAAAAGTATTTATGGCTACTTCAAGATAACTAGTTCTTCAACCATGCATCAACATCAAAGTTCATTGGATTGTGTACCTTCTCTCTTCCACCCACCCCCTCCACCTCCAGTCCCCGCTCAAATAAGGGAGACTTGACTGGGGGTGGGGCGGCGGGGAGAACCATGAGGTGGTCTGCTCCCATAAAGATGTACAGGATCAGAAGGCTTAGAGAGCAGTTCTGCTCTGTCCTAAAGGGTCACTGTGAATTGGAAAGGACTCCATAACACTGGGCAGTGGGTAGAATAAGTCTCCAGTTTCTCCTCCAACTGGAGTTAATACCTAGCTAGGAAATTGTCCATTCAAATTCAAGTTAGCCTTTGGAAGTGCCTTGCAACATTACGGACACTTTCACAACAAATGGCACTCCCTCTGACCTCACCCTCTTATTATGCTTACAGAATATTAATTAGAAAGTCGGTTTTGGAAATTCACAGGGGCAGTTCTAATCTGTCCTATTGGATAGATTGGAAAGAACCCAGGCACTACACAAAGACTAGGAGGTCGAACAGAAGTGAGAAAAACTAACCATCACCCCAGAACTACTGATCGCCCAGTTAGCAAAACAGAGGGAGGCAAAGGTGATGTTGGCAAAATCTTAAGGGGAAGGAGAGGTGGAGAACTGTTTCCCTACATACCTGTCCAGGGCAAAGGAAGGTGAAGGGCAGATAAGACACATTTCCTTATCAATAGAAGAGAACAAAGCCTGCAGCAAACTCACTGCAATGGAGACATTCCAATCCACAGCAACCCCGTAGGAAAGGATGGAACCGCTTCTGTGGGTTTCTGAGGCAGCATCTCTTTACTGGAGTAGCAAGTCTTTCACCCATGCAGCGGCTGGTAGTCAGCAGCGCCAAACGTAACCTACTGTACCACCAAAGCTCCCGTGGAAGAGACCAGAGAGAGTGAAAAGGCTGGGTGGAAAGAGCCGGGATGCTCACAGTGCCCTCACAATAACTGACTAGACTTTGGGGTTC